AAAAAAAAAAAAAAAAAAAAATTAAAAAAAATAAAAAATAAAATAAATTAGTAAACATCTTTCATACAAAAGTGAAAGTTAATATTTTTAAACATCTTATATTTCCAAATTAGTTTAAAAAAGTTGTAGGTGATGTAATACCCCGTATTTTATTAATAAGAGAAAATACTAGTTTTTAAATAAAAGCTAGCCTTTGTTAATAATTATTCATGTTAATATTAAGTTTAAGTTATTCAGCTAGTTAAGTTCCAAGTTCGACGTTAAGTCGAAAGAATATCTGGTTAATTTTATTTATTAACCGAGCTAATGATAGTAATTCATTTCAGTCCGTTTATCTAATAAATGGACGTTAGCAAGTTGGGATTAATTATTCCAATGTTAACGTATTAATTGAATTGAGAATATTCGATTAATTGTCAAAAGTTGAGTTCAAGCTAATTATTCAGTTTCAGTTAAAGTTCGACTATTAGTCGATAAGGTATTCGGTTTAATTATTTCAGTAACCAAATGAGATTTCAGATTTAGTTCCGATTCATTTAATTAATTAATGAGTTCAGAATTAATAAGTTAAGGTGACGAATTATTCGAAATATCAATATTCGGATTAATCGTCCAAGTCAAGAATATTCGAATTAAGTTTCGAAGTCACGTTTATGTTCGAAATAATTTCCGATAATTAATCCATGTTTAATCGCTCGATAATTATTTTACCGAGCTTAATTAGGAATTAATTACCGTGTATTATCAAGTATTAATATTAATTGTGCTTAGTTTAAGTCTAAGCCAGGGTCATGCACGTCCAGAAGCACGGCATTGCTTAGTTAGTTCAAGCAAGTTTAATTAGTACTTGATCATGCTTATTCTTTCTTAAGTTGCCTCAAATTCTCACGTGAGGTTTCATTATGACTTGGGACACATGGAGGCTTGAGATTCAAGGGATCAATGACTAAGCTTTTAACTAGATGAGTAAGCAAGTTTCACGCCACTTAGCCAACTAATCTCACGGCAAATGGCTATAGCTTATTGGCCATCATTTTCATTCCAATTTTACCTCCATTCGTCCACTATTTAGGAGAAGTGTTTGGGAAAAAAATTACCTTACACACTAATATTAAGTATTCAGCAAAAGTTTAGATATATTATCTAATAATTTAAGCTTAGTATCGCACGGGAGAAAGGAGACGAGCACACGCACGGGATAATCACGGGAAGTTACGTACAATTCATTAAAAGATTAAAGAGGTATCATCGTCTTTAACATTTATTTATGTTAATATGATCATGATAGATTCATAATATTCAAGTATGTCTAGTAATTCATAAGCAAGGCCAAATTAAGTTCGGTTTAAGCCATGTTAGGCCGTGACCGAGTGATATTCATTTTATCCTGCAACTCCCGAGCAATTCATATCTATTCGATCGTTTTATGTCATTATATGTTCAGATAATTCATGTTTGTCGAGAGATTTTCATGTTTGGTCGAGAAAATGGCTCAAAGCCGTAGGCAGCGCACGGTGCGCACGCCACCGGCCACCTTAGTTCATCGAGCAAAAGTTCATGATTTTGAGTAAATTAGGTATATTTGATCATGATATGTTAAATCATGGTTAGTCATGATTGAGGTTGCCGGAGGAAGTCGTCGGACGGCCGGTAAGGATCGGTCGTGGTTGTCGTACCCGCACGCAGCGTGTAGGGCACGTCGGCAGTCACGCACGCTACGCGGGTAACGTGCGTGTATGCCCATGCGGGCATCGAGCATTGCTCCTACCCGCAGCAGATGGTAGTTGGCAGCGCGTATGCGCACGCCAACACGCAGTCGCGCACGGCGTGTGCAGTAGCACACGCCAGTGCGCATACCCGCACACCAGTCTGCCTCGAGTGTTGCCCAACAGCACGCCGAGTGCCCGTACTGCGAGAGTCGCACGGCAGCGCCCGCGCGGTACCCAATCACACACAGCCAGCGCCTGCATGCGCGTTCATGTGTCCAGTGGTCTGTCGCGGTGCGCGGTAGCACCCGGCAGCGTCCAGTCACGCAAGTATCGTCGCACATAGCGTTCGGCAGTGCCAGTCACCACCACGAGTCCAGTCGACCGTCGATCGTGTCCAGTTGCACTCGATGGCCGTTCCATGAGCATGCGTTGCGCCAGTCGCACGCCAGCGCCCAAGGTCATGTCCAGTCGGCCCAGGCTAACGCCTGTTGTGCCCAGCGAGGTTCAGTCCACGCCGGCTGTGCCCAGTGGCACGCCAGCATGCGCAGACGCCTATGCCCGTGCCAGTCACAACCAGTAAGGCCCGGCTGTACCTAAGTCGAGCCTAGTCCATGCCAGCGACCGCGCCCGGGTACCAGCAGGCCCAGCGTGGGACCGAGCCGGTTGGTCCAAGCCAGCGGCCGACCACCCGGCTACAGCGGGCCGGCGGTCCGGCTAGACCCCAGACCGACCAGTTCAGACCAGTTCAGCTCAAGTTTCAATATTTGTTGATCCAGTTCGTATTCATGTCAGATAATTCAGTTAAGTTCCAGGTCCAATCAGTCAGTTCAGTGTAATCAGTCAAGTTATCAGTTCAGTATTTTCGGTCTAGTCAGTTAGTCAGTTCAGTTCAGCATTTCAGTTAAATTTTTAGTTAGGTCAGTTCAGTCATGATCAGTCATGTTCAGTCATGTGCAGTCAGTTCAGTTCAGGTTAGTAGTACCAATTCAGTTCAGTTTTCCTTATCAGTTAAGTAATCAGTCCAGTCAGTTCAGTCCAGTAATTCCAGTTAAGTTCAGTCTCAATCTATATCGAGCCCTAATTCATGTCAGTAAGTCCAGTTAAGTCATTAGTTCCAGGCGAGCATCTTAATAGCTATTTTAATTAATCTGAGCATAGTACTTAGTATTTATTTATATATATATGCCATAGTTTTGCAGGCAATCAGCACTTACATTTTCAGATCAGTAGTTCAGGTGGGGACTCAGACTGGGTATTACATTGATTATAATTATTCTACCATGTTTGAGGTATGTATTATCAGTATCCACTCGGAATGGTCGCCGGTCCATTCTGGGTTCTAGTGGTCTTAGTCTGTCCACTAGAGTGTCCACATGGTGTCCGACTTTGATGCTGGCAGATGTTCAGGTATCAGGAAGGTGATGATTATCTCACCATCAGTATCAGATCATGATTATTCAGTACCGGTTTCAGTTCAGTTCAGTTATATATGCCAGGATCATGATATTGTAATTATTTTCACTGTTTACTTTAGTATGAGTTTCTGCTGAGCACAGTGGATTTAGTGCTCACGCCCCACATTATTCATGTTTTTCAGGTCACAGGGTCGGAGCCGAGGAGTGAGCTGGCGTTCGGTTCAGTATTTTATATATATGTTTGGGTTACGCTACGTTTTTCTGCTGATTACGACCGTTTGCCAAACTTAGCTTTTGATCCGATTTTTAGTCGGTTAATATGTTATGTTAAACTGTTTGTTTTCTTTAAAATTGAAATGACGGTTTTCAGATAAAGTCATGTTTTCTGGTAGCACTCCGAATCAGTATTTCGCAACTTAGACGTTTTATTTTGAAAACTTTGCGAAAAACACACTCTGATTTTTCATGAAATAGCGGGGTGTTACAGGTGACTTCACCTATTTTAATAAAAATATAAAAGATTTTAGATATTTTTACATATGTTAATATTATTTTAGGTGTTTGTAGTATTTTAAATATATAAGTTTTATATTTTCTGGTACAAACTAATTTTAAATTGTCTATAATAAACTGATATACGGTAGATTATATCACATGTTAAACCCACATCTTTAATTTGTTTACCCTCATCTTTAATTTATAATATTTTTACTTGCTCTTTTAAGAAATGATGGTTTCCCACTTTTTCATTGGGTGGCTCGAACTCGAAATCTATTTGTAATTATTAATTAATATTTTTTACTCGTGCATCGCACGAGATACGCACTAGCAATAAAACAAATGAATTAAATAATTAAAAATAAGTCATGTTGTTTTAGTAAAGTAAAAATACGTTATGTTATTTTTTAGGCGTATTCATATCGGAGATCAATTGCATTTAACACAAATTTATAGATTTTTTTTTGTTGATATAGTAAATTTTTATTAAAAAAAAATAGTACTGGAACGTAATTTCTTCTTGTCTACATAAATTTGACTATATAAACGTAATATAATTTATTTCAAATACTTGTATGAGACAACATTTTATTTGGCAGGTCAACCCAACATATTTGTTATATGACATTTCACTTAAATTGTGGAAGTTCAAATGTCATTTTATAGGATATGCATCTTAACCCAACATACTTGTTATATGATATGTTACTTAAATTGTGGGACTCCAAATGGTGTTTCATTGAATATGCTACGCAACTTAATGAAATTAAATTATATATTTCGCATATTCATTTATCATTTATTTAAAAGTTAACAAGTAATTGATATATTTCAAGTAATATAAATGATATAAATTAAGTGTCTTAAACCAAACATTAAAAAGTGAAACAAAGAAGAAAAAATGACAAAATAAAGCTATTACTACTACTACTACAAAACAAAATATATATATATATATATATATATATATATATATTAAAAGTTTGAGTAATGTCCAAAAATATGTATAATTTGTTGGTTTAATATAAAATAAATTTAAATTAATAAGGACTAAATAGTTTTATTATGAATTAAATTAATATAACATGAACTAAAATATTTTTTTTACTACTATATGTTTAGATTTGCAAAAAATTAAGACTGAGCTAGAGCCCGAGTGAGAGCACTGTCTACGCCCATGATTGCAGAATTCCCCTTCCCGTAAAAGATAAAAGGTGCCTTTTCTCTTGTATTGTAAAAAATGCGCAAACGATTCTCCTCTCCCATCAAAAATAACTGTGTGTGCACCACATACATGACTTATACAAATATTATGACTTATACAATTTAAATTTCTTAAGACTTTTTAAAACTTGTAAAAATTCTGGGATATTCAATTGGGATTTTTAATTGTCTTACAAAATCTTGTGGTATTTAATATATTTGACACTAGGACTTATTAAGACTTTTTAAGATTTGATGGGATTTCTAAACAAAAAATCTTATACGAAATCCCACCCAAATCCTATATCAGACTTGAGATTTCATAAAATTCTTCTCAAATCTGAATATCCTAAAAAATCTCAAATCTTAAAAAGTCTTAAAATGTCACTTAAATTCTCATTTGAATACACCCCTCTTAACACCAAATAAATCTAAATAAACATATTGGTTATGAAAAAAGAATAATATAAACTACAATAATTATAGCAAGACATAAAAATAAAATAAATCAAGTAAATTTTATTAAATTAGGAAAATTTAAATAAGACAAACTAAAATCAATAATAAAATATAATAAAATAAATTAAATTAAATGTAAATTATCTTGATATAAAAAATAAAATAAATCCATAAATAATAAAAAAAATAAAAAAAATTATATAAGTAAATTAAATGTTCATAAATAAACTGAATTTAGTTAAAATGAAATAAAACAAAACGTCACTTTTATTTATAATAAATAAATGTCAATTTATCTTTTTTTAACGAATATTTAAATAATACAACTAATTTTATTTATTTAGTTCATATATTTTTTAAATCCTAAAAGATAAACTCTTTACATTTTGAATTTATTTTAAGTTGTCTTCAATTAGTTAAATTTGTTTATTGATTTTATTTATTTCATTTTATATTTAACAGAAAGGTACGTACTTAGTTTAATTTATTTGGGTTACTACTTCATATATTTTTTTATATTTTATATTTAAGTAACACCCATATACACACTGATAGTTATTTTCATAATTGAAGATGCTGGACTGAAACATTATATATTACTCTCATAATGTACCAACAGAAGGAGAGAGGCCAGAAGGTAATAACAGCATTGACAAAAACTTCCAAGATCAATGAACACAAACACCATAATCATATAAAACTGTGCTCCTGATATTAGTTGTCTTTTACTAAAGATACACACAACACCCGTTCCACTCGTATGGAACGAATATTATAAGACATTTTGTACACTTCGATGTAGTTCTCTATGCTAACCAATGAAATACAGGCCTCAATCGAGACGACTTTATGATCTAGTATACAAATGCCCCGTCGAATTGGCTTTAAAAAACAAGGAGCTAAACAAAAATGGCGGAAAATGGAGAGGGGGCGAAAAACCCCAAAAGAACAAAGAAAACAGAAGAAAAAGGGCAAAAGAATGTATAAAGGACAAATTTACAAGGCCTCTGCCCCAATCAATGAATAGCCGTCACAAGAATGGAAGTACCCCAAAGAATGCTAAATGCAACAGCAAAGCTAGGATGGAACCTTGTATTAGCTTGTGAAGCTCGTGATATGCCGACTTGCTTTTTTCTAGTTGTCCCGCATTGAAAAACTCGGTTCTACCCGTGCTGGTCGTGGTTGAGACATTCACAGATGATGAACCTGTAGGATATGGATTTTGCACGAATGAGTCGGGCGGCTAATTAACGGAAACACCGAATAAGAGAGTTTTGCAAAAGTTTTTTCCTTCTGTTGTCGTTAAAGTAAAAAAGTGATAACCAACCAAAAATTGATGAGTGTGTTTGCAGACAAAAGATATAAGTTGCATGAATTCGAAGAGTGTGATAAATAGAATTATTGTTCGCATTCGAAAAGTCAAACATTTGCTATGCACAGAAAGAGTCGAAAAATTTGTAGGAAAAAAAAAAAAAAAAAAAAACTCTCTCTCTCTCTCTCTCTCTCTCTCTCTCTCTCTCTCTCTCTTTAAGGTCAGGTAGCTAAATCTGGTAATCACCTTTGCTAAAGGTTTGCAACAAGTATGTTATGGACAAAAGAAGAAAGAAGAAAGAATTAGGAGATGATGTATACAATTCAAGTAAAAAAAAAAAACAAAATATCACATTTCCACTTGTCTTGAGTAAACCTCATGGAATGAAACTTACAGTCATAATTGGCCCATCCAATTCTTTGACCAGCCAAATCATACACCACGATCTTATCTTTCAGAACAAGATCTGCAGCAAGGGACGAGCATTTAACTGAATTTGACTAGACAACATCTTCATACGATGATCGGTCAAATTAGAAAGTCAAACATAAACAAATAATAAAGATAGGGTAAGCTCTTTCCACCTTGCTCCAGAAGCTTTTTACTGAAAAGTTGATTTATAAGGTTTAGTTAATAAGTACAATTAAGTAACAACTACAAAGATGAATAACCCCCTGAGGTAGACCTAATAATAAAAAACAAAAAAAGCTCAAATTCGAAAATACAAACACTCTCAGCCAGAACGAGATTTACCAAAAGTAAATGCAAAACCTGAAACTCATACCTCCTAGAATTGTAATCCCTTGACCCTCAATTTTCTGAATACCAATGCACCACACAGCAGCGCCTCCCTACATAAACAAAAATTTCAAGTTATTACCAAACGGTTCGCCCAATTACAGAATACTACCAGCTCATTCTTAAATATACAAACACCCATCCGGTTTTACTAAAACCCCATGTAGGGTCTGCATTTACACTACAAATGCCTCGTCATCCCTATAGAAGGTGCAATTATAAAATATGAAAACAAATGTCAAAGCAGTATTCACAATTTTGAAAAACAAGTTGCAACATTTTTTCCTATAACTTAACTTAAACCTCCACTTCCAATAAGAGAGAAATTTCAAAATATGAGAACATGCCCACTTACGACAGAATTCTGCTGCAAAAGATAGTCTTGGGGCCTAAGTATCATAGATGCGCCACCAGCAAAGTTTAAACTAACTGGTGGAAAAATCTCCGATACACTGTACAAAAAAAAAAAAAAAAAAAAAAAAAAAACACAATAAAATTATCCACTTTTGTCCAGAAAGATACAAACAAAATTAATACTCTGATAAAAAAGAAACCTGGAAGTTGTTAGGTAACACTGACTTCCTTTAACTAGAAGAGGGCGCACAGATTGAGAAACAGATTGTGTAATCTGTGGAAAAAGAAATAAAAAAAAACGCAAATCACATTAGTCATCACAATCATATAAAATAAGAACCACAGATAAAAAATGGCATGCATTCATGGGCATTTGAAGAAAAAGCAACACATTTTTATCTGCCAACTTACTGCAGAAACAAAAGTCTCGTAAGCCTCTTCAGCTAGGTAAGCTAAAGTTGTTCCCGAATCAATTATCGTTCCTTTGTTGGTCGATGTCGAAAAGACTGATGAATCAATGTTTAATGTTTGCCCATTTACAGCAATACTTTGTAGATTTACATTGTAATGTGGCCTGAAATTCAAAATGAATAATATATCAAAATGCAGTATCAGTGGTTCATCAACTGTTTGTAGTTAAGAGTAATTTGATAGCACTTGCAGTACACATAACAATGCATGACATAGTGAAACATGTAAAAAGATAGAAAAAATCAATATTATTTAATATATTTCAATTTACATCAAAAGTCCACTAATGCACATATTATATATAAAACAGACCTAAACCACTCCAATCAGACTCTTAAATTTTCACAACACAACTTAGATACGAAAAGAAACAAATAAAAACCAAACATTGAAGTTATCAAGTGGGATCAATAAAAGATACAGAAAAACATACGTACTGTGAGGGGACAAGCGGGGTGTAAACTATATTAGGCTCGACGATTTCACCAAGCACCAATATACCACCACCACCATCTTCTCCTTTTAGACAGTGAGAGAACGCATTTGGGGTTATCCCCTGTGAAGAAAGCTGTGAGATGACAGATAATCCTTGCTGCCCAAAACCAAATATGCCATCAACAGCCCTATCAGGTTTCGTAAGGTCTCCTGACTGTGACGTGCTACAACTGTACCAACCAAAAGAACAAAGGAAAATAAAACATGAGAGGAAACACAACTGCTCAACTGAACAACAATAAATAAATATAGAAACATGAGATGACACACAACTAGCTAGATTTACCAGACAACCTAAGGATCAAGATTAAAAAGAGGAAAAAGAATATTATATTGACTTGGGGATGGAAATTCAGTTTGACAATTGTTCATGGGTGTTTGTGTCATAATCTCTGAAAATGTCGGAATTTTGTCAATGATACATTACATGAAGAGTTCAATAACAAAAAATAAACTTCACATTTTTGTGATTCCAACTCAACATTTACACATTGACAATTCAAAACTCAAACTTTGTATTGCTATAGAAGAATAGTGTAAAACCAACGTTTTCTTCTTCTTTTATTCTTGCAGTTAAATATTCCATAACCTTTAAGAAAAAAGGCAAACTGAACATAAATAATTGTTGATAACACATTCAAACTTAAGGGCACATTTAAAAGGTTGGCAAGTATTGTGAAAAAAGTGAAATGTGATTAGGTGTAATTTGTATGAACGAGAACCCACCCGAAAATAACAGAGGATGAAGAATTAGAAATCATTGAGTTCCCGACTATCGAATCAAAATAAATTGAGTCGTATACATAAAATCCCGAGGTCCCACTCCCATCACCATACTGGAATGTGTATCCACACCGATTTTGGTCTGAACAACCAGCATCAGACGTTTGAACTCCCAAACCACACCTTTGATCTGAACACGAGATTAGAGAAGCTGTTGATGAGCTGGAAGGATCAAAAAACTCGAGCTCTATCTGTCAAACAGCAACAAAAAAACAAAAATCAACATATATAGCTCCCCACAAACAAGCTGCAACGAGTACTAGAAATTAAAAAATTATAAATTATAAATAAAAATGGTATATTTGCAAGAATGTCATGTATTTATACTTGTAGTCCACTGGATTTGGGGCAACCGGTGCAAGGATTGCAACTGACCCATAGGACATTACTTCCTGTGTCTATCTGTACATAGAATTCTTTTGGAGGATTCCCCAATTTAACTCTTGTGAAGTATAGCCTATAAAGATTAAACTGCGGCCGATTAGTACTTGTGAACTGATATGATCATCCAGAATCAAAGTTAACCCATGTGCTTCGTAGAGGCAGAATGAATTAAGAAAGAACATACTACTACCAAAAATCATAAATGCCGCTGAACTAAAACAATTTACTGTACATTAGTCAGCAGAACATGCCTTTCACAGACAGATAAGTTCATGAGAAAATTAGTATAAATGCTAAGTAGAACATTTCGAGTTCTTCCATCTCAAATGGGCGAACTAACACCGACTAAGTCCCTCTCTAAAAGGTGATTAAACCGTCGTAATTTTAAATAGACAGGAACAATAACTTCAATGAGGATTGCAATAACCAAGCTAGGACTTTGACTTTGTGAGTTGCAATCTCAAGAAAGGACCAAACAAATGATTAGGAAAAAGGAAAATAGTCTAAAATCACATGTTTAAGGCAATCATAGGAAAGAATTCACATGTTTAAGGCAATCATAGGAAAGAATTCACCTGAAAAACATGACTTTTTTTAGAATTATAAGTTGATTTCAAGAAAATGATCAAAACAAAACATTACAATGAGGAAAAAGAACATGAACGGAACATCACAAAAACAACGAATCCAAGCCGATTTTCCGTTTGCAAAAACAGAGAATTTTTGCAGAGCCCATTCATACAATTACATTCATATGCGTAAACAAGATTGTGTTCTTCTAAATTAAAGCAAATGATGAACAATTGTATGTTATACAAGATATATATATATATACATACATACCCAACAAGATATGGATCATAGGTTCCTTGAACGGGTAAATCAACAATCCCCAAAGCCTGCTGCTGTTGCTGCAGGAATCTACCGTGTCTAACTCGGTCACGGTCCCTGAGTTGACTCACCCCCAACCCGATGTGATTCGCCCTCTCCAGACTTAGCACCAATCCCTTCCCTTTAGCGACCCCCGCCGCCGCCGCCGTCAAAAGCAGCGCCACAACCACAAGAATCCTTGCCGCCGGCGGCATATCCTCCGAACAAATAAAGTCCCACGCGTCTTTTCTCGTTCGTCTTTTGCCTTTTCCAGTTTTCCTTATAATCTAAGCAATTACAAACGGCTAAAATGATAAATATATATTATGTGGGGGTCATACAGTACCTTTAAGGTACCACCATTCCCCTATTTTATTCTACACCCTTCGATGTTAGAAAGATACCAACCGTCCGATTAATTCAAGCACCTAACATAATCCTCATAACTCAAGTTGCTTGTAAGTAGAGATGTTGATCGAAATAAATAAGTTTCTCGTTAATGTTTGAATTCGGCTTCGTTGAGCTTGTTTGGACTTCAATTTGGCCAAACGAGCCAATCTTAGGCTTGTTTGATCTCGTCATGAGTTGAATTCAGCTTAACTTGTTAAGTTTTGAAAATATAATATTTGGGAAATGCTACGTTTTGTTACAGTACCATCTCGTCAGGTGTATAAATTAATTCAATATTATCCTTTTTGTACAACAATTATTCACCAACCAGACCCTAGTAAAATATTGTCCGCTTTGGGCTATTTCCGCTACCCGCACGGTTTTGTTCTTGGCTGGGCTTCAATACACACCCACCAAAACGCGTCTTACTAGTAAAGGTATCCACATCCTCATATAAGACCTGCTTCGTTTCCTTTCAAACCCGATGTGGGATGCGCTGCATGACAACACCACCTAAAACCAAATCCACTATGTTTTATTGTACAAAGTCTACAATCTACAACTGCAAAGCTTAACAATATTCATAGGAATTAATGTTGGTCTGAATAATGTGAATCCAGCGCCCATGTTGAATTCTTCAAAGCCACTAATAATCTATTTTCTTAATCAATCAAAACCTAGCAACAAAATTACATATGTGCTGTATTTACGGCAATCATTGAAAAATATGATTAAATTATTTAGTGACTAATTAATTATTTGATCGGTTTCTATTTTTATGACTAAATTTTTAAATTTTAATAAATAACTACACATACAATACAGATGATAGGTAAAGGTACACAACATAAATTCTATGGAGCCATCGGATGACTCACTTATGGAATTATTCATGACTTTATGTGTTGACACGTGTCCAAAGTGTATTTATTGTGGGACACGTGTCAATACACCATTTGCGGATAATTGTGGATGGCTCCATAGAAAAATCGAGGTACACAAATACAAAAGTTGTTTTATACAAATTGGTTTTATATTGATTTTTATTTATTTTTTTATTTTTTGCAAGTAAAAATTCAAAATTATTCTAAGATGATGAAAAATTAACTCTATTTTGTATCTCAAGTTGTGTTAAATGGCTCCAAAGTTAGTTATGATTGAAAACATACATCTCGAGTGAGTGAGTGAGTGAGTGAATATCATATGACAAGTTTAGATGAACGAACACTGACAGATATTGAGGTCGCGACACTACCAACTGTTGGCCATGGAAGCAAATTGCTAGCACAATCTTCTCAAGATAGATTAACGAGGGATAATTAACGTGTTATAATATAAGATATCGTAATATCTTGCCTTCATTATTTTTCTTTTACTTCAGAATTCTAAACACGAACAAGTTCACTAAAATCTTGTATATTGAAGTATCGCTATAAATACGATAACATTGATTTTTAAAATTTGTATGAATACATTGATTTTAGAAGTTGATCTTCGTCCGTGCTACTTTAGTAAACAAGTATATATATATGTAGCATTTGTAAATTCTAGAAACTATAATGCAACAAGAATCATATATTCCTTAAAAATATCTTAATATAACAGGTTTGTACATCATAATGGAAGTCAAATCATGGAAATTTGTTGAATTTAATCGGTTATGTTATGAAGTCAACCGTTGGTTTCATAGTGGAACCAACTTTTTATATACAACAAATAAACCTATCATATTAATAAAATTATATTAGTGTTGCTTAAGTAATCAGAGAATATGGTAGGTTTACTTGCTGTGTATAGAAGGTTGGTTCCATTATGGAGCAACTGTTGACTTTGTAACAAAACCGTGAATTTAATTATTTTTAGTCATAAAATAAAATACTACTAATTAGAGAACCAGTCTTTACTTTCTCTTGAACATGGTAGCCTGGTTGTACCCGTATTTGGAAAGAAGTTGGTTTGATTTAAAAACAGTGAGTAAACCATAGTTTTTAAACCGAACTCGGTAATCGATATGGGTAGGTTTCCGAGTCACCAATTTGACCCCTGGGTCACCGGGTAAATTGCTGAACTAGATAATTAATTTTAAAAATTTTTAAAATTATATATAAAGTATTTGTCATAAATATACATAAAAATAACAAATTAAATATTTTGTATGTAAAAATTATAGATTAAAATGGTAATAATATGTCTTTCATGATAAATATTTACCATATAATATATATACATAGTTTTATTTTTTATTTTTTATAAAAATTATATATAGGACTGGGTCAATCGGGTTGACACAGTCGGTCAATGTCTGGGTCGACCAGATCAAGACGGGTTGGTTGGGTTTTGACCGAGTTTGACCGGATTCATTGTTGTCCGGTCCAAATAGCCCACCCGGACCAGTCGATCGAGTCAGTTGGGTCCCAAGTCGACTCGCCGGACCGGTCCAAATTTAAAAACACTTGAGTAAACTAAAATTCAAATAATAGTTGCGTTTTTTTATTGTTCACAACTTTTATATATAGGCCCCCCAACCTTTTTGAGATGCTAAAGAGTAAAATGCACAACCCATAGGAACCTTCTTGATATCATTCAAGATTTGAGGCACGCCATATTTTCTTGAATAATTTTATAAGTTTTATATTATTGCAATTTTCCATCCAAAAGCACTTCCACAAAAACTGTAGTGACGGTCTCACTTTGCTCCTAAGAAATGGACTCAAGGAAAAGTGGGTTCCATTGCTGCTGCTATTTTAGCGCCTCTCGTTTTCTTTCCCATGGATCCCTCGTATTTTGAGTGTTTGGTGGAATTTTTTTTTTCAAAAGTAGTCATGTTCAATTTTTGCTAGAAATTCATATTTTAACCAAAAAACATGTTTTGAAAACTGAACCGTTCATCGAATCGATGAAACGACCAGTTCAATAATTCTGTAAGAAACAGAGAGAAAACGGGAGCAGTGCCACTCACATGAAGCGCACCATGAACATGGAAAGCCTAAATGAAACTCAAATGAGATTCCCCACTCACATGAAGCGCACCATGAACATGGAAAACCCAGATGAAGCTCAAATAAGATTTATCCAAAAATCAGTTGGTGGAAGGAGAAGTAGCTCATTAGACTTATATGGTGAACCGAGTGCGGTCCCACTCACATAAAACGCACCATGAACAAGGAAAGTCCATATGAAGATCAAATGAGGTTACATCCCAAAACCAATTGGTGGAAGGAGGAGTAACCCATCAGACTTATAAGGTGGTCTATTTTCCATGTATATTCGATGTGAGACAACTCACAAATGATATTCTAACAGGTTCAATTGTCTGATCAGTGGTCGAACCGGTCGAATCGATTTAGTTAATATATATAATTTTTTATTTAATTAATATGCGTAGTATATTATTGTATATACTAGTATAATACCCGTGTATTACACGGGTGCTTGTTAAAAAATTATTCTTAAATTTTAAAATTAATGAGAAAATTATATTAAATTTAGTTTACTTTTTTACAAAAAAA